AGAGTGAACAATTGAAAAGAACGGCTCACCGTGGTGTCTCATAACAACTACTTACATTGTTTTCAAGTCAGAATTTAAGGAACTAGTTCTGACTAAATTTTGGGAAATAAGCCGTCATAGCCTCCAGTCACTTGGCTGAGCTGAGTGTACAAGCTGTCCCAGTTCAGGGGCTGCAGCCTTCAAAGTGTGCATTTAAAGACCAACTGCATAAAGAGAGGGCTAGGTGATATGGCCTTAAATTAAACTCTTTGGCTTACAACATTTAGTAAAGTCTGTATTTGGAGACCAATTGCATCACAGATCATCAAACCTATTTAATGGAGCCAAATAAGTCCAAATCCAGAAGGCACAAGGCACCATCAAACTCATGTAAGGCTGCACGATTGCTTTATGTCAAATCTAAATATAAAGAGTGTCTGTCATCAGCATTCCAGTAATTTTGTTTTCAGGTTTATCTTATTTTTAGGGCTGAAATGATTCTTCAAGTACCTTGATTACAAAAAATGATTTAGGAATTTTCTCTGCCTCAAGTTCTTGTTTATAAGCTCAAATCGTCACTGTTTCGCATGGATTGTTTTCAAGGTGACACAACATGCTTACGTTACCACAGTAGAAGGAGGAGTAAGCGCGGTTTTGGTTTTGCGGAGTGGAAAAAATGAATGATGAGAGGGGCTTTTCTCTTGCAGAGCTCCAGTAGCTCATTAGCAATTCACCTCTGAATCATGGGCGGAGACAGCGCTGCTCTGCACCCTCCTCTTCATGCTAGCTTGCAGCCTAACATTGCCGTTTAATAGCAGAAGCAGGTAACATAGGAGCTATTCAGCTCTCACACACTGTCTTTGGGGGCATGATGAAAGCTAATATCATAATTAAATTTTTTTACGAGCATTGCAATCTGCTACCGCACACGCTTGTTCCACGTTCCTTGTTTCTAAAAAAGTCAAACAATTGATTGTTCATTATTAATTTAAATGTCTTATTTTCTCTTGTATATTAATAACTGCACTTTAATTTAAAAAAATATGTTTTATCCGTTTACTGGATGAAATATATGGTAGAATACTCAATTACTAAAATATTCGATAGCTGCAGCCCTACTTATTTTAAAAGCATAAGACTTACGTTTTTTACAAATACTGTGATTGTTGAATCAAGTTTGGTTTAAATGCAAGTGAGCTAACCACACCACATCTCCAGGCTGCCCAGAGTGACTTACCTTACAGGTAAGACAAAAATAAAGTCAGTCTTCTGATCTTATTCAGCGATGCCCTGTTCTCCATCGTGCACCATCAGTGCAAAGCTTGATGTGGCCTGTGGTTCTCAGAATGAGAGGGGAAATGAATGGCGGGGTTATTCGCGGAAACTACCTGTGGTCTCAACACACTGTTATCTATTCAGGGAAATTGTATGTTGTCTGGGTACTTGTTGAGGAAAGGCAGAAACAGATCAAAAGACTTACTGAAGAAGACTGACACTTCAGGTTGAATCATGCTAGAGAGGACGTTTTATTCTTTGATGACATCAGGCTATAATTATCCGATACAAAAATACCCGCTGTGAGGTTTATGGAGGCACAGCTGGACTTTATTGATGCTGCACGTGATTTTAAAATGAGACAGCTGAGAATCCTTGATTGACAGATAGGCTGACCTGAGCTGTGCCCAGGATTAAATGATGCATTCGGGGAGGTTGTCTCAGGGGTGTGTGCACTAAAGGAAAGGACCAGATGAGCAAAATTGTTCTTGTGTGTGTCGCTTATGCAGCTCTCACTAAACATGTACGTACACTGTCCTATTCTTGTGTGATACAGTATTTCAGCTGCTCAACAGCTCAGGGTCTTTTGCATCATGTTTTCGTTGCATGTTGCACCAGATGGGGACTGCAGGCGGGCCAGTTTAGCAACTGGACTCTTCTACTACAGAGCCATGCTGTTGTTATACACACAGAATGAGGTTTGGCAGCATGAGTTGCTCTAACACCTGTATTTGGTTTATTATTAACACTGCCTTTCTAGATGTCTAAGCTAGGCATGCCATGGGCTCTTTTCCTCATGGACAGTGGCTTTTATATTATATTGTGAGTCAGTCTCTCACAGAGTGGTAAATCCCTTACCTGGATTACTTATCAGAGACCCTTCCTCTCTTGAAAGCCCTTTTAATACCCAGTCATGGTACCAACCATAGACTGTATACTCTGGACAACTTGGCTCTGCCTTCCATCATTATACGAATTTGAAGCCGAAGTGCTCTCAGTATTTCAGGGATTTTCTCCACTTCCTGGAATCACCTCTTGCACGGTTGATGACGCTCGGCTCAACAGTATAGCCCCGGGTGAGCTATGCAATCTTTATATGCCCATAAGCTGTATCAAGTGTCAATCACACAAAACATGACCCTCCTTATAACTTAGGGGGGTTGCAACCAAGGGGGGAGAAAAATGTATATTCTGTGCAAGTAATTTCTAAAGTTTGTCCACAGCTCCATAGGGATGACTTGAGTCGGGATTTATAACCTATACCGCAGCCCGTCACCAGAGGGTGCTGTTCTCGCGGTGGTTTCACCCAGCGAGGAGGCAGATGGCGTCCATTCTATATAGAGTCATGGTACTAACAAAGGTAATTGTTCTGCAGATATCAGGAATGTGTAAGGTTTTTAGTGTTTTGTTGTCCCTGTCCTGAGTTTTCAATTAAATACAGGGTTTGGATGATTTGCTCATTATCACAATCTGTTTTCCTTAGTATTATAAGCAGCAAAAAACGGAAGAAAGACTTCTCCAATAAAACACATTGAAACACTGCCCTAACGGTTAAGTTGCTCCTTTGAAACTAGAAGTCGTGGACAGAAAAAATCTAGACTTAATATTATAGTTAAAATCTGTTAACCTCTACTAAATCTCCATCTTTTCGTTTATATGAAATCACAGCAGGTAACAGCGCTTCATTCACCTGACAGGCACTAACTGGGGCTGATGGGAGCTGCAGTGTTCCCATCCTCTGTGTAATTTACTTGTGTAAATCTTCGTTTTGCTTTAGGTGGGATCCCAGCAGTGCTGTCTCAAAGAAGATTAGCAGTGAGGCCAGGAATCCCATGAGAGCATCACAACTGATTAAACCTACAACTCTTATCTGTCCGAGAGAGCAGATCCATGATAGCCTGCTGCTCACTATCAATGTCTGCAGTAGATTAACCACCAAGAGCATCTGCAGCTTTTTAGTGGGATTAAACTCATGAAGACACGCTGCAGTCTACAACACAGCTGTGAAGTGGCAGACAGTGATTACTGTTTAACTTTATATCTGATGCTAAGCACAGTAGAGGATGTGCTCATATACTTCATTTAAGAGCAAGTTTAACAAAATTGTGTAAATTATCCTTTAACACCTAATACTGAAATACAAATCAAAGCCCTGAGTTTAAAGATTTTACAGTATTGATCAGAAGTAGGAATCCATCATATACGTCATATTATTGGATTAATGTTACAGACATGGGGATGTTTCATGATATCTATGATGATCAATCGAAGTGCATAAAGAGACACTTCAGTCTATTTCATTACATCTAAAAACTAGGGGTGTTCCAACAAGGGTACCTCATGATTCGATTATGGGAGCTTCGATTCAATTATAATGATTGTTGATTTGATTTGATTTGTTCTTCTAAAACTGCACTCAATAAGTAAATAACAAGGTTTTTTGAACATTTGACTTGTAATTTTCAAAGACAAAATACTTTATTTTATGACTGTATGACTGTTATGTAATAATTTGCACTTTGACCTACTTAACTTAAACTGGGAAGTTTGGAGACAGTCTCCAAGATGGTCCTCTGTGTGGCGGGCATGACCGCAGGAGCCTTCTCTGTTTCAGGATGAAAGCGTATAAGGTGCTGCCTCATATCTGTGGTGTTGCTGAGGTACTTTAATTTTGCTAAGCAAATCTTGCAATCGCATAGGTCTTGTCAGTCATCTTGTTTTCTCTCTTAAAATCTAAAGTACTTCCGTACAGTTGAAGTCAACCCTGGTGGTGAGAGAATCGGTCGCTCTCTGGAGGCTGCTGAAGCTGTTGCCATTTTGCAAATAAACTAACGTGTTCTGTTTGTTGTGGTCCCACTCACCAAACAGTCCGGGCAGCGCGTGTTAAGGTTCCGGTTACATGTTTTTTTTTCCGGCCTTGCGTCAAAGCATTGACGTTAATTTATCAATGCCGAAACGTCATGTGAAGCATCGCGACGCATCGACACGTTGATGAATTGCACCCACCTCTACTCAAAACACAATACAGTAGCTTTAATAATAGCTCGTCAACAGTTGACCCACATTTGATAAGTAAAAACCTTTTATCAAAATGCGCCCATCAAAAACAGCAATCAACATGAATGCTTTTGCACAGAACAACCCACGCTCTTCTTCTGAGTAGTTCACTTCAACAGCCATTTACTAAATTCAAGAGCATGTCTGATAATAGTCTGTACTGTGATACTGTTGACACATGGCCAAGCAAGATGCCAGCCGCCATAGAAGGGACCTTCTTCATATGTTCATCTAAACGTCCTTACAATGATCAATGTCTGCTCTGATAATGCCACCGTATACTACACACTGCACTTTCAGCTTGGCACCTTTTGCTGAGTTAAAAATATCAGCTGTTAGTAGGTCTACCATGGGATTAACTTTGACTTGTTTTCTCATGAGCGTCTGCACCCTTCTCACCACCTGCGTCCTATCAGCCCGCCTGTGTTATCTCTTCATCTGCTGCATTTCTACAAAGGTGACAAACAGGAAACCTGAATTGTATAACCTCCCGACCTAGAAAATCCTGCTCGTACTACAATCCTGAATGCATAGCGGTTGTCTTTTTAAACATTTACATCATAAAGTTTTATTCGGAAAGTTATGATGAGGAGTGCTTCAGGTGTTTCATTTCACCTGCTGGTTATGTGGACCTGTGATGTCACTGAAGGTCACTGTGTCACCGAAAGAAATGTGAAGGAGTCAAAGGACATAGTTAAAAAAATATTTATTGAAATTGTATAAAAATAGTTTCTAACATAATTTACAATTCTAACTTGAATGGATGAAAAAACAACAATCCAAGCTGCATTCATATAAAACCCCAAAGAGTTTTCTCAATCTCACTTCTCTTTCACACACAAATACATTCATACACACACACACACTCACTCACATACCAGACATTCAGATTCCACTTGCACCCACAGCAGACGACGGCGTAACAAAACCAGTTACCATCAGTAGACGTTCACTGTTTACATACATTAACATGGAAGTGCTTTCAGGACTATTTACATGATATTTACATGACATACACAAACATACACACAAACATCTGCTCTTTTTCTTTTCTTTTTTAAATTTCAAGCCATAATAAATACGGCCAAAGAAAAATCATCTAGTCTTTGTCTGTTTTAAATAATCTGTGGGCCCTTCGGTGACTGTGGAATGAAATACATTAAGTACAGCCGAAATTCTCTTCTCATAAATAAATAAATAAATTCTGCGCTCATTGAGTGTGAGAAAGAAGCCACAGCAATAATAAATATCATCATTATTATTTACAATTCTTGTCTCAGTCGAATTTTAAGACCTGTGTGAGGCACTGTTTGAACACAAAAGTTAAAAAAAAAAAAAAAAATTGAGGTGAAGAGCAGAGGATGTTGTATTTCGGTATGGTTAGGTTTGCATTGTGGTGTGCATTCGTGTAGGTGTGAACTAGCGGTTGCCTTAGCCGTGTGTTTGTATACAGTACACAACACAGGAAGAGGAGGAAGCGGAGGTTGTAGCGTACGTATAGAGGTGGTAGTAAAAGAGTGAGGTAAGTCCAGTGTTTTTATGATCTGTTTGTTTGCACAGGTTGCTGCCAGAGCTATGAGGTTGTCTGGTTGCTAATGACATTGGAGAAGTAGTGATAGTAGTGGTTGTAGAATGGCACAGGCTTTACTGATCTAGGCCCATGAGAGGAAAAACAGCAAAGAAAAACATAAAGCCGCGTAGAGAGTAAGGAGCAAAAGAGGCTGACTTTAAGTGGAGCCTTTTCTGCTTTTAGAGATTCAAGTATTTTCAGGTTCCCCAACAATCTCAAAGAAGGCACTTTTATAAAAATCCTCTCTGCCTACGCCTCTGCTTTTCCCTCAGAGAGAAAATACAGGAAGAGCAGAGTACAGCGTAGCGAGAGGTTACATAACTCAGTGTGTCCACTTTCCATTCAGGAGAATCGAAAGTAAAGGACTGTGTTTGCTCATTGCAGGTGTCCGTGCATACAGAGCCATGCCCTCCAACAGACTGGTAAACACCCATCATCTTCATCAGAGTCCAGTGAAGTTGACGTTCTGACAGAAAATCAAGTAGTTGGGGTTTTGAGGTCGGAGAGGGTCCAGCCTTGCAGAGTGAAACCAAGCTGTGATGATTTTTTTTCCCAACTTCTTCTGCATTCAGTCCTTGCACCTTCCCCTCTTCTGCAACAGGACTGCAGGCCAGCCCTCCCTCCTCTCTGCTTCAAGTCTGTTACATAAGTCTTTTGTAATAGTCTCAGTGCAGGCCAGTTCGGACCAGATCAGCCCAGAGAGAGCTGTTTTTGCTTCCATCACCGAGCCACGGCGACAGGAGTGGGTGTGAAGGCTGTTGGCTCATGGCTGATGCTGTGAAGTCTGATCTCTGTGGTGGTCTTTTCTGTCTGCACGGTGGACGGGACTACAGAAGAGGCTGTGTTCTGCATCCATGAGTGGTTGATGATGTCCTCAAAGGAGGGACGGTCTGACGGCCGCAGAGACAGACACCACTTGATAAGGTGCTGGCATTCTAGGGGAGGATAAGCAAAGATTATAAGTCTATAGCACTTAGCTCAGTATGGAGTATTAGAAGTCGTAAACAACAAACATAATAAAATGTGTTACAAAGTTTATTTACCTGCTGAGATTCTTCTCCTGAAGAGGACCTGAGCTCTTAAGATCTCCTCATCTTGTTCAAATGGGATGTCCCCACACACCATGTCATACAGCAGGACACCCAGGGACCAAACTGTGGCAGAGCGTCCATTATACCGATGATATTTGATCCACTCGGGTGGGCTGTACACTCTTGTGCCTATTAGGGGAGAAGGCAAAAAGATAGAAAACATTATTAGACTCATTTATAAACAGTACCCAGACTTCACATAACTTAGACTTGATATAATGTTTTAAAACTGGTAACCCCTTTTAATATATACTCAAATAAATGATTAACTAAGTGCAGATTTATCAGCTGAACAGTTTTTTCAAGGGATTATCTGGTCTCAGGTGTCAGGGAGCATGACACGCATTATGTTAGAGAGAGGTGTGTGTTTGAGTGTGGGAGGGGGAGCAGACATGTGACATTGTTTACAAACTTTGAGTTGTAAAAATGCCACTCTCGACCTATAGGGGGCGCCAAAGCAAAAGCAATGCTGCTCAGTGTGTATTATCAGAGTGCTGTGGGGGATGTCAGATATGTCACAACCTAGGAATTCCTATCTGGGAAGTGAAAATACCTATGGGCTTTAATATCTTTTAATACCATGTTCCCTGTGATAAAATTATGAGTTTAAAATGTCGGATTTCAGGTATAAACAAACACATTTTAAGCATTGCTGACTCACCATCAAAGTCTGTGTAAATGGTCTCCTTCAGAAGCGCTCCTGATCCGAAGTCGATGAGCTTCATCTCTCCGGTGCGGAGATCGATGAGGATGTTTTCATCCTTGATGTCCCGGTGCACCACCCCGCAGTTGTGGCAGTGCCGCACGGCCTCCAGCACCTGGCGGAAAAAGCTCCGCGCGAGCTCCTCCGGTAAGGCACCTCTCTCCGTGATGAAGTCGAACAGATCCTTGACGTTTTCCGGTCTCTCCATCACGATGATGAAGCTGTCCGGCCGTTCGAACCAGTCCAGCATTTTGATGACACCGCGGAAGCCTGTGCCGACCTTCTTCAGCAGCACGATCTCCATGGGGACCCGTGAACCGTTGGGCTGAGGAGGGATGTAAACATTAGTATTTAAGACATAAAAGCGGGTTGAAATTAACTCAAAATACTCCAAGATATTAACTCCCTTAATTTAAACACAATTTCAATGATATTTATATGACATAAATGTTCGAATAATGTTAAAAAATGGTTTCTTACCAGCTCCCCCCACTCGGAGACTCGGTCTTTGGCAACATGCTTGACAGCGACCTAACAGGATAAACAGGAGCCCACGTCAAATGACAAGTACCACAATACCAATACACACGAAGCAGCGGGTCAAAAGTGTTTTATGAGGTATTATCTTGTAAGAAATACTAACCGGTGCTCCGTCGGATATCCTCGTCCCGGAGTAGACGGTGCCAAAGCCGCCGCTGCCCAGCACCGCTCCGACCTGGTAGAGCTTCTCGAAAGGCTCCCTCTCCTTCACTGTGGAAACATAAACACAGCCGGCCGGTCAACACCAAAGAAGAGACTACTCGCTCTCAAAACCAAGGAAAAGACGTATATAAAATAGTAATAGGAGTACTACGTCGTCGATAACTTCATAATAAAAGGTTAATATAGGTTTAGACATCAGTAAGTAGTGTCATGAGCGGACTGAGCCCCGATAAACGGACTGCCATTGCAGCAGCTCGTCGTCCATGACGGCAGAGAGGGGAAAAAAGGGCGTCTAACCTTGTTGAACTTGGAGCTGGATTTTCGCCGGCATGTCTGTGGGGATGTGGGCAAAAGAATTGAGCTTGGACAGCAGCATTCCTTTACGGGTATCCACCACAGGTCAGCGACTGTGTCCTCTTCGTCTTCCTTTTGGCTTAAAACGGGGATTTAATTCCGATAGTAAGACTCTCCGGTCTCCTGTGATGAGCTGTTAAGTCCACGCTGGAGCAACAAAAATGCAGTAGAGATCCTTTCATCCAGAGACTTGAAATTTTGGGAAATACAGCCAAAAATCTTGACTCGCATTAAAGACTCCCGCGAAACTGCGTTTTCCACACGCAATGTTTTGTAAACAGTTGAGTACGACTCGCGATATAAACAGATTAGACGGTGCAAGGAGGAAAGCCTTCTCAGACACCGGCTCTTAGAATCACCGAGTTGGGGGGTGGAGGTTTATAAGGCAGTAGTAAGAAGGCGTTGCGATAAGCTCTGACGTTGACAAACCCCGCCCCTTTTCAACCTCTGCACCAATAGAAGTGAACATACGCATTCCAAACTCATGTCAATCACCAAATGAAAATAAACCCAACCCCATAACCGGCTGGGCCAGACACAGACGTGGCGGGAATAAAAACGCGCTAAAAAGGGGGGAGTCGAAAGTAACAATTATGAATACAAGTTGGAGGGAAATGCAAATTGAAAGCCAAGTGCTCCCCCTCCCTCTCTCCTTCCTTCGCTGGAAACTGAGTCAGAGAAGAAAAGATATGAATAGACTTTTATTATTAACATGATTATAAATACTGCAAGAGTTCACCGAGTTGCCCAAATCAGATAAATTTGCTTTCCCGTTCCACCTTGGAATAAATAGTTGTGCTATTTTGGTATTAAAGTATCACTTTCTGTGTTTTTATATTTCACTTGTCTCTCCACTGTATTCCTGTTGTGTCTGCATATGAGGAAAGAAACAGACGGTTGCTTTTATTAGCACTGACACTTCCACATGCCTTAATAAAGACATTTGACTAAAGAGACAAGCAGGGCCCAGAGGCTACAACCTGAGAACAGTTCATCAATTGCATTCCAGCCATTCTGACCCCTGCCATTTACCTGATCATTTTCACATTAAACACAGAGGTTTATTGGCTGAAGTGAAGTCCAGGACTATGGTCTTTATTTGAGTTGCCTGACAATGCCTCTCAACTGGCTGTTCATCAAAGCGGGTTGGGGAGAATAGGCGCATTCCACTCATTCTTTCAAATTGGGTGGCCGCGTTTGCAGCCGTTCACAGGATGTGGGAAACTAGAGATAAAAAGACTTCCATTTACCCCCTCCTCCCCTCCTCAGTCTCTGCTCCTCCCCTCTCCGCCCTGCTTTTCCCGCGCATGTTATTGTCTGAAAAGCATGCTCTCTGTTTCACCCTCCTCTGACTAAGTTATGTTTTGTTTTCTTTTGTAATGTCAGGGAAAGTTGTAAAGCCCCATAATACTAATATGCAAAATACAAATGTAGTGTGACAGTATCTACATTTGAATATCTGAAAGGGGAATTATTTACAGAGAAATGTCAAATTAACTATGATTCATATGTTTTGACCAACACTTAACACTGCAGCAGGCCTTGGATTAAATAACAGAGCTTCATTTTATCCATAACTAACCTTTTTTCCAGTTATAAACTGTAAAAATGCATCTATGCTCAATGAGATCTGCAAACAAAAAAAAAATCTAAACTACAACTTAATGGTCTTTAAAAACTTCCAAACAAACTCTGCTGACTATTTTATGACCTATTTGCATACCCCCCTGTTTCACTGTGATGAGAATGAGACCACAGGAGTGTTTCTACTTGCTTCCAGGACGCCCTGGGCAAATTCCTTTAATACCACAGATATGTTTGAAGACAATATGCAAACCAGGTGCTGAACAACTTAACTTTTGACTACAGCACAGAGCCAACATCAATCACAACATATGAAAGTGTGAGTCAAAATAAGAAAGAAACTGGCACACGGTGGCAAAAGCGAAGCTTGTTGCTCTGGTTTAAAGAGTGAGTCACCTTTCTGGGCTCTCTTATTGCTCTACATTTGCTGCTGGTTACATCTAAGATGCTGTTAAGCTACCGTAATATGGCTGGAGCAATAACAGTAATGTGTGCATGAGTGGTTTTGAAGTGTCCTGAAAGGTTCAGAGGGGAGTGTGAGTCCATGCTCAGTCAGGGGCATTGGAGAGGTGAGTGAAAGCAGAGAGGTCCACAGTGATGAGTGTGACAGTGACCGCGGGACTATGAAATGCCACCAGTGAGCGCATCACTCTGGGGCTGCAGATATCCCAGCCTGCATGATCAGCAGGGTTCAAATGACAGCCATCTAACCTCATCTGTCAGAAGGACAGATTATTAGTTGCACTGCTCGCTTTGGGGGCCAGCTGCTCCGTCCAATCTCTGGAAGTCTCCCTTTCCCCCAGGGAAAGAGGGCAACAGGTTCTTACTGTAGAGCTCTGCACCCCAGCTTTTATTTCAGAGTCGTACACGCAGCCCCAGATCAGAGGGGCTTATGCCACAGTCACTCAAGTTTTTTGTCCCCTGCTTCTTTAAGCCCTGCACAGCACTTGAGGACAATAGCTGCAAAGCCAAAGATTTGGCTTACATAATACCTCCATGAATTACTTCCTCTTTCTTGATAAATACAAACTCTGCCCACAGGAAGGTTTCACAACTCCACATTACAATCATGCACAATCCACATCTGCACAATTCGATGGAATGTGTCAAAATTTGGACTTTGCAATGTTTTTTAGATTCTGTGTTTTGCTTATTTCATAACTGATGCATGATCTTGCATAACAATATACAGTGACTAAGTTATTAACTCAGACCTTTTTAATTACAAGGTCCTCATTTTAGCATGAAAGCAATTATGAAACTGCAATGCAAGAACTGTGACCTAAATGTTGGGGCACGTGAAGGTACTCTTTAAACGTAAGCAGTATTGGTTATTGAGGACGTGTAACTCTTTAAGTTTAAAATCTCTTGTTGCTCATTTTAAGATCGTACATTTCACTGGGAAATATACTGTGACTTAAACCACTTTAGCACCTCATGTTCCTCTGACTCTTGGTTCTGCAAGTGCCCTTTTTGTGCAATTTTATGTCTTCAGTGATGTTGCAAAGTAAAACTTCCTATAAACTCTGTTATCTGCCTGACCTTTCAGTACACCCTTGGCCTACTACTCCACCTCCTTTCATTACAAAGTTATAACACATCCGATGTCACATATTAACTAGGCACATATTATCTTCTCAGGAGATGATTCACTTTCTCCCATGTTGCCTCAAAGCTTCCGCCGTTGATTCTTCTGCTGTCAGTTCAGCTTTTCTGCCTTCCTGTATGTCATAACAGGCTCTTACACTCATCTGCACTTAAAACACTTCTTCATCCATCATGATGGCCAGCCAATCACCTCTCCAGCTGTCTTCAGGCCCCACCTGCTACCACTCTGTAAGTGGCAGGAAAAATAATTATGGAGACAAGTGAGGACTTGCATGGGGAGTTTGATGGCTCTGGGTACCCTCAACGGACTGAACAATAGATAATAGGTAGGCATGTCCTCAGTGGTCACTAACATGCAAAAATGCACGCCATCTACAAAGAGATATTTGTTAGGGCTGCCAGTTGATTCATTTTGTGAAATTGTGAGTGATCGCGGATTATCAACAAGCAATCAAGATTAGCCCCATTCTCAACTGCATGTTTAAAAATCCAGACATTTGTTTTTCAAAACAGTTTCTACGTCAATATTTACAACGCAAAGCGATCCTTCTCAGTGTCTCAAATGAATGCAATGAAATGTTCTTGTGAGCTAGACCTTAAGATTTATCATTAAACTAAATGCTGCTCTGCTACACCAGTGTGGTCTGAAACCATGACCCTGAGGTAGGAAACAGCTGAAGAGCTTAATCTGAGAAAAACAGTGCTCCATGCACACAGGAATACAAGAACCAAGCGTCTAATCAGTGTCATTATGGTGTGAAATTGGATAATTTTGATAACTCACTGATGTCCAGTGATCCCTGATTAATGCAACAGCATTTGCACTTTCAGCAATTTCCGTTGGGTTGTTATTCTCTGTTTCATGCATGGACAGTAAACATAAAGCTATTTTTTCTTTCAATGATAAGAGGCTCCGATTAAGAGGCTTTGTGATTCATATTTGAGTCTGATTGTCTACACGTGTATGCTTAGTTTTAAGGTCACAGCTCAAACTTTGATATCTTAATTCTGTTTGACACAAAATCCATATTACTTTGATTTGTCAGCTGAACCAGCTGAGATCTTTCTTTAAAGTGAGATCTGCCTTTAAAAAAGGTGGGAGTGTCATTTTTTTTGCAGGAAGATGCAGCCATAGCTGGACTACGGTGTCCTAGGGCGAAGCAAAAAAGCATGTTTTGAAAAAATAAATAAAAAAGGAAAGTCTCAATCGCTTTGCAATTAACATGTTACTGCTGGCAGCCCTAACACTTAAATATAATGTTTTGATAAAAGGATTTCCAGATATAGGATATTCTGTTTTATTTGTATTTTATGGTTGAATATTATGCATTGAAATAAGCCTGCTGATAACTCTAAATAAGGCTTGTTGGTTTAAATAAGAGTGCCCAGGGCTGTCTGTCTTCAAAGATGCCTACTGTGATGACTCTGTTATGTGTTAATGGACTTTCTCTGTAATTGTCCTCTGCAACTGTTTTGATAATGTATTTACAATACCTCTTCATTTGTGACATTTAAATTAAAGCATATGATTAAACTGCAGATATGTAAATATTCCCAACTAGAGGATGATTGCTTTCAAATGCAATGATGGTGTTGTAGATAAATGATGTGCCCTTAATAGAAGGTTTTAATAACGTAAAGGTTTTTTGCGCTGTTTCACTGCAGTAATTAGACTTCATGCGTGCGTCACGCTTCCTTAACAACAAATGCATGGACTTTTAATAGAAATATGGGTGAGAAAATTGGCTACTGTCTTCATAATGATGCTTTTATGTCTCTGGAAAGGTTATTTCTCACAGGCGCAATAAATGAAACCATTAAGCCATCATCTCCTGTAGCGCCAATATTAAATCACTCAGAGCACCCTTAAAGTCATCAGCGTGCTCTTCACTGACAGCCCATCAGCCTGGACATGTGACGGCCGTGTGGTCTGCAGAAATGGGATGAAGCCAGGTGTCTCACACTGTTGTGTGTGTCTTGACAGTAACTGACAAAGATAACCCCATAATTAGAGGAGGGTCGTAACTCTGCCCTGCAGCTCAGCAGGAGGAGCCGCCTCACTCTTCTCAGGCAAACAAAGCCTGCCCATGTCAGTTATCTTGATTGGGTTGCCAGACAAATGAGCCTGTCAGGGTTAGCATTTCTTATTACTCTAGACTTCACTGATCAGCACTCCTAATCACCAAGAGATGTCAAAAATCACATGGACCTGTCCTGGTTTTTGGTTGTCCTGGTTTTGCATTTGAGTAATCACTGATTGTTACCTTATGGACCATGAGCACTGTTGTCGCTCTATAAACATGCCACAGGAGAAAGTTATAGCTGGCAGCTGCCCTCTTTGAGCACATGGGATCTAGAAGAAGTCGCTAAGCTGGCCTCGCCTGATGATAAACACTTAAACATACACATACACAAATAAACACAAACGCTGAAACATCATCCGCCACACCTCCAAATAAGCTGCAAAGACTTTTCAACTGCCCCCTTATAAGGAAAGCCTCAGCATGTGTGAAAGTTTGTGTGTGGGGGTGAGTGAGTGATTGAGTGGGGTATATTAGGGAGGGTGAATTATTTTTAGAGGTGCTCTAAAGGATGTAGGGAATAGCTGTGTGGTGGGTAGCCTCCGGTGTGGCCTGACCTCTCCTCAGGTAGCCTCTTAACCCCTCCGTTCCTCAGGTCCCTAGAGGTCTTGACTAGCAGGGTCCATGGGAAAAGGCCCCACTGGACATCAAAGGCAGGGCCTATGTGGGAAAGCACCACAAAGAGCCTGTGGAGGACCCTAAAGGTCACCACGGGTCATCTTTCATGTCAGCACTGGCCTGGTCTGGGTCAGAGGTTATTAGCATACCTGTCCAGCTCCAATCAGACTGTTCTTCCAGGAAATTATCTCCACTTGTCTCAATTAGGGGTTCGACTACTAAAGAGTCTGTGTAAGGTTTGTTTATGACCATTGTTGTTCTTGTTGAGGAGGAGGGTAAATAATGAGTGTTTAAAGGGGCTGGATGCCTTTAAGGTTGCCAGCAGTTACAATAATAGCGCTGTTGTCGGTTTAGGAGATGTCCATATGGGGGTCCAGATCAGAGGAAGTTACACTTCCTCGTTGATCCCCTGATTCCAGCTGATAATGACACTGCTGACAGAAATGATCATCATCAGCTGTCATTTAGATGCTCTTAGTATGAGATTAGGGCTGCAGCTATCGCATATTTTAGTAATCGAGTATTCTACCGAATATTCCATCGATGAATCGAGTAATAGGACAAAAAATAATTTTTGTCGTTTAAACACAATTATGAATATACAAGAAAGAATAAGACATTTAACTTAATTATGAAAAATCAATTGTTTTCCTTTTTTAGAAACAAGGAATATGGAACAAGCATGTGCGTTAGCAGATTACAATGCTCGTAAGAAAGCTAATTTAGATATTAGCTTTCATTATGTCCCCAAAGACATTTGTGTCTGAGAGCTGAATAGCTTCTATGCTACTTGTTTCTGCTACTACACCAGCAATGTTAGGCTGCAAGCTAGCATGAAGAGGAGTGTGCAGAGCAGCGCTGTCTCCGCCCACGACTCAAAGGCAAAGTGCCAATGAGCTACTGGAGCTCTGCAGAAGAAAAGCCCCTCTCATCATTCATCTTTTCTGCTCCACAGAACCAAAATCATGTTTACTTCTCCTTCTACCACGGGGATGTAAGCACATTGTGTCACCTTGAAAATAATCTGTGCGAAACAGTGACAATTTCAGTTTACAAACGAGTACTTGAGGCAGAGAAAATTCCTCGATCATTTTTCGTAATCTAGGTACTTGAGGAATCGTTTCAGCCCTATCAAAGATATTGTGCTATAACTAACAACAGTGACCACAAGGAAGTTTAAAACACTCAAAATACTCTGTTTGGCCGAAAAATTGGGTAGAGGGAGGCTGAGTTAGGGATGCAGAACGGTGATGTATATTGGGTCTTGTATGATGCCTGTTTCAGCGTTTGTAAGACTACATTATGCACAAGAATGCCTGAGCAATGCAAAAACAACATTAGGAAACATAAAACATTCAATTTAGGAAGGCAGTATAGAGAATACATCAGGGACACTACACTGAGTAATACAAAAAAATGTGATCAAGCTGCTGGTTTGCTTGACTCTAACCTGATGCATTCACACATCAGCTCATTTGGAGGAAAACTGTACAAGTGGCCCGCAGCTCGATTGTATAACACTGAGAAAATTTCAGGAATATTGTGCATGTATGATAAGAGCATTGAAATAATGCTGATTATTCACAGCACCACAGTAATACATCTCCCTGGGGTCTCTCGATGCATTTGGAGGTGTTGGTTTGAGGAGCCACAGAAAGTGGAGGCTGTATTGGGGGAGTGGGGTGAGCCATGTGCGAATAAGAGAAGGGAAGGAATGTGCTGAACCAGGAAGAAGGCTGCTGGTGTCACCTTCCCACGGAGGCTGAGAGCGAAGAGGAGAGAGGCGGTGGGGGCCGGGTTGTTGTTTTGTGGGGGCTGTACACATTTATCCACGTGGGAAACAGACAGTTGTGACATATTAAACTGCCGTCACACAAACAGCCTAGTGACACTGTTGCCAGTCACTGTTCAAGAATGTCAGCGCTGGGATTATTTCAAACTTCCCACAGGGATAGAAGAGGGGGTTTCGTCTTTGCTCTTTCATTACATTTGGCAATCAGCTGGTTTGCTTTCACTCTGAGCAGGATGGATGTGCCAGTACTTCACGTGAGAATCCACACGACAGGTTATACTGAAGCCACCTATAAATAACCTTGTCCCAAATAAACAGGGCTCCTTGGCGTGGTTGTGAAACACTCTACCATGTGTGGAAAAAGCACGCCACTCGTTGTGCATTCACTTTCCACTTAAATGTCTATTATGTTTCCACCTCTCGGTTCAGCCCCCACCCTACTTTCTCCCTCTTCTTCTCACTCCCCCCACCCCCACTCCCCTGCACTGTTTACAGTCGATTTGCATTGTGGCCCAGAGAACCGGGCAGGCTGTTATTGTTGTTGTCGTGAGGGCAGAGGGGTTTTCCCACCAACTTCTCCTTCTCCTCCGGCGGAATCAAAACACCTCTGTGCTGCTGCCGGTGATGTCATGGCCCAGAAACAACTCAAAGCTGCTTCCCTGGGAAACCCCATATCAGGAAGTCCAGATAGTTTTTTCCCCTCTCCTTGATTGTTATAGCAGAGCAGCTTGGAAGAGACAGAGAGGTTTTCTGATTAGGTTCCCATACACTGCCGGTCCTGATGGCCAGTGTGAACCCTCTGAACTCGAACAAAAGGAGCTCAGCTGTCCTGGTTTTTTTCATTGTTTTATTTTGGACTAAACATGTGATTTGTCTGCTTTCACACACAGCCTGAGGCTACAAGGAGCAAGGTTGTAGACAGGTCATGAAGTTTAACATCCCTCTGTTTCAAATTCTACCAGCCAAATGGGACATTTCCAAAATGACAAATGGGATGAACACGAAAGTACTTCAATTGGTAGGAATAAATTAGGAATACATATTTTTAGTGAATTCGAGTTTGTTTAAGGGAGGGTGAAACTGAAAGATAATACCCTTTGTTTATTTCACTTCTGGATCTCTAATATGTCCAGATAAAGATAAGGGTGGCCAAGGCAATCATATTTTTGTAGACCTACACTACAGGCCAAAAGTTTGGAAGCAAGGCCATAACAGGCCAAACAGTTAGGAGTAACTTCAAGTTTTTGTTCACAATGCTTTTTTAAAAAAATCCAGCATGAATTTTACATATTTTGGGATGTATTAACTTCATGATCAGATGTTGCTTTCATGGAAATGCACCGTTTTACCTTTAGATATACATTGATGTTAACAGACCATTGCTAAATATATGTCAACAAAAGATAATAAGGGCTTAGTTTTAGGGTGGAAAACATTTGCAAGAGTCACAATTTCAGTGCAAAAGCAAAAAAACAAATCACAGTTTGATTATTCACTTCACCGTTTTGGCTTTTGAGAGTCTGCATACAAAAATCCTGATAAATCTTAACTGTGTTCAAACTACTGCTAAAATGGCTAGAAAGAAGCAAAATAGAAAAGCATGATAGAAAAAGACCTGGACGAAAGAGAGATACTACAAAAGCAGAGGATAAACATAGCATTGTCACCAGTAAGAGAGATCGGCGAAAGACAGAACCACAAATAAAGGAGGAAATCAACATGACAAGGTCGAAACCCATATCTCTGACAACCGTGAAATGACGTTTGATAAAGGCTGGTCTGAATGGTTGTGTATCTGCAAAAAAACACTACTTCGTCCACAGAACAAGAAAAAGAGATATGAGTAGGCAAAAGATCACAAAAATTGGACTTAAAATGACCAGAAACAAGTTTGCACTATTTGGTTCAAAACGCAGAGTCTATGTCCGCAGACAAACTGGTGAACGTCTGAGATAACCATGTGTTACACCCACATTTCAGCATGGAGGTGGTAGTTCAATGGTATGGGGATGTTTTGCAGGTGATGGAGTAGGAGATTTGTTGAAGTAAAGGGTATCATGGAGAAGGAACAGTACCACTCCATCCTCAAGCACCATGCTGCTCCATCCGGACTAAGAGTTGTGGCTCATAAGTTTGTTTTGCAGCAAGACAATGACCCTAAGCACTCTGCCAAGCTCTGTCAGGGTTACCTAAACAAAAAAGAAGGGGAAGGTGTTCTTCAAAAGATGGTTTGGCCCCCTCAGTCTCCAGACCTTTCTCAGTTGAGCTTGTGTGGGATGAATTAGATCGATCGGTCAGAAAAACGCGTCCCATGAATCAGCGGTCTCTTTTTAATGAACTTAAGAAAGCTTGGAATGCAATCCCTGGAACATACCTTCCAAACTTTTGGCCTGTCGTGTATATTTGCAAAAAAGCCACAGAGCTCACACTAGCTCATCCTGTGGCCTTTAATTTCTATATATATGACCCCCATGAGTCAACATGTGACAATGTTTTTCTCAGGCTGGTAAATATCCTGTTTGACCACAAGACTAAAGTGATACAACAACCTATTAATAGAGTCTACCCACAACATAAGCCATTGAATAATTTCGTTTTAATAATTCATATGGTTCACAAGAAACTAAAATCTATGGCACCTCCAAAAACATTTGCAGAAGAACATAATTGAACACATGCTCATGGGCATGCTGTCCGAGAAATGAGAAAGCTACTGCAACACAGTGAAACTTTGATGTTATTGCATAAGGTTATTGTTTTATCAGAATCTCATCCCAGCCTATCCAACAATGTCTGTTCATGTTGCTGTGGAAAACAAATAATTTAGTGGAAAAAAAAATTGGTATTGTTTTTGTCATGGGGTAAAAAAAAATATTTTTCAACACGTGATCCATAACTGACCATTAATATTCCCAAAAATCAATGAAGGATGAATCTAAACGAACATTCTGAGACTTAACTGTTAAAATTTCTTGTACTGAGGCTCAGAGCATGTTCATTCTGTCTCATAATTTTGATGCCTCACCTACTCACTTTTAAAGTCGCACTCCGATATTTTTTTTCCCACAACTTAAAGTGTTCTCCGTGGTCTCTGAATTTTGATTATCAAGTTTTTAGCAAAAATTACATTACCTGTCATTTTCAAGGGCTTTTTTTTTTTTTTTTTACAGAGCTCCGGTAGCTCATTAACAATTCGCCTCTGAGTCGTGGGCGGAGACAGCGCT